CCCCCCCACTCTCCCCCGCCCGTTCCCTTCCCCCGCCTTCATCTTTGCTTGTTCATTCTCTCGCTTTTCTCTGTCAAGAGCCAAGCGCCATCTCGATTTCCGTCTCGATCACATCCCCGGAGATGACCTCGAGCTCCGACTACGATCCCGCAACCTCGGCTGTCGAGGTTGCCGCCGCTTCTGAGAGCCTCCCTGTCGCTGAGGCTCCGACTGTCCCCAAGATGTCTGAGGAGGTTGCCGAGACCATCGAGGCCACTGCTGAGGAGACCGCCGAGGAGGTTGCTGAGACCGCCGAGGAGGTTGCCGAGACTGCCGAGGAGGTTGCCGAGACCACTGAGGAGACCACTGAGGAGGCCACTGAGGAGGCCATCGAGGAGGTCACTGAGGAGGCTACTGAGGAGGCTACTGAGGAGGCCACCGAGGAGGCCACCGAGGAGGCCACCGAGGAGGCCACCGAGGAGGTCACTGAGGAGGCCACTGAGGAGACCGCCGAGGCTGCTGCCGAGGAGACCGCCGAGGCTGCTGCCGAGGAGACCGCCGAGGCTGCTGCCGAGGAGACCGCCGAGGCTGCTGCCGAGGAGGCTGCCGAGGAGGTTGCCGAGGAGGTTGCTGAGACCACCGAGGAGGCCACCGAGGAGACCCCCGAGGCTGCTACTGAGGAGATCACCGAGGAGGTTGCTGAGACCACCGAGGAGGCCACTGAGGAGGCCACTGAGGAGGTTGCCGAGACCACCGAGGAGGCCACTGAGGAGGTTTCCGAGACCACCGAGGCTGTTGCCGAGGAGGTTGCCGAGACCACCGAGGAGGTTGCCGAGACTACCGAGGAGACCACCGAGACCACTGAGCCTGCTGCTGAGGAGACCACCGAGGAGACCGCCCAGACCACCGAGGAGACCACCGAGGAGACCACCGAGGCTGCCCCGCTTGCCCACTCGGCTGATGATATTGAGGAGGACGAGGAGGCCACTGAGCCAGCCACCGACGCGATCGAGGCCGCTGCCGGCGAGATCGCCGCTGCCGTTGTCAAGGCCGCCGTCGAGGCTGCCGTTGAGGAGGCCACCGCCGCCGAGTCGACCACCACCTCCATTGCCACGGCCGACATCGGCCACGACGCCGTCGAGGAGGCGGCCACCGAGACCGGGTCCTTCGAGAAGGGCACCTCCCGCCCGGCCACCGCCCTCATCAACCAGTTCCTGGTTGCCTTTGCCGAGAAGCTCAACAAGCACCTTACTCCTGTCATGCCGGAGGAGCCGGTGGCCGGTGGCGATGCCGGTGCCGCCGTTGAGAAGAAGCCCACCGCCTCGGACGAGGAGCCCATTTCCACCAGCCCTTCGGAGGTGGTCGTCGAGGCCAAGGACGCCGATGAGACGACTGCCGAGTCGGCGGCCGCCGTCGAGCCGGCTGCCACCGAGGCCCCGGCCCCCCTGGCCTCGTCTCTGTGGGGCGTGGACATGTCGACCCTGACCGAGGCGCGTGAGACCCCGGCCACCGCGGCCCAGCTGACCTCGGCGCAGCGCCTGCTGGTGATCAAGTACCTGCGCGCGCGGCAGGGCGACGCCTCCGCGGCCGCCGATGCCCTGCTGGCGACCCTCGTCTGGCGCCATGCCTTCGGCGTCGAGAGCCTGATGGCCTCTCCGACGGCGGAGGACATCGCCGTGGCCGCGGCCGATGGCGTGCTGAACCCCCATGTGGGCCGCATTGCCGGCATCGATCGCGAGGGTCACCCGGTTTGCTGGAGCCATTACGGCTCGCGCCTGGACACCGGGAAGCTGCTGGAGACCCCGGGCTTCGAGGGGCTCTTCCTCCGCTGGCGCATCTCCCTCATCGAGCGTGCTATGCTGATGCTGGACTTCCAGGGCGATTGGAGCCTGGTCGGGGCGGACACCTGCCCTCATGGTCTCGGCACCCATGACACTCTGATGCTGACCCAGGTCCATGATTACGAGGGTGTCGGTCTCTTCTCGTCCATGGGCCGCGATGCTCGTATCAAGGCCCTCACCAAGGAGGTCATCTCCCTGATGAGCGACCACTACCCGGAGACCCTGCGTCGGAAGTGTGCGTCCCCCTGTTTTGCCCGATGTCTCGTTTTCTGCTCTTCTCTCTCTCTCTCTCTGGCGCGTGCGCGCGCGCGCGCGCGCCCTCCCTCATGTGCTCACCCGCTCCTCCCTCGCCCTGCCAGTCTTCATCAATGTCCCTCGGCTGATGGCCGGTCTGATGTCCGTCTTCTCGGCCTTCACTCCGGCCGCCACGAAGTCCAAGTTCATTGTGGCCTCGGCCGGGTCGGCCCAGTCGGCCCTCTTCGAGCACATTGACCCGACCAATGTCCCCGTGGAGTATGGCGGCTTCTTCGATGACTCGGAGCAGGCCCTTTCTCGGAGCAGCTTCGATTTGACCGCCCCCGCCCGGCAGGTGGCCCAGACCTCGGTCTCGGTGCCTGCCGGCGCGCGCATCCGCGTCAGCTACCATGTCCTTTCCGGCAGTGACATCGGCCTGAAGGTGGCCCTGCTGCCTGCGGTCGCTGAGAAGGAGGAGGACACCACGTCCTCCGGCGGCGAGTCCGACTCGGCGTCCGAGCCGACCGCTGCCCCGACCGAGGTTGGCCGGGAATTTGTGGTCCCGGCCGCGGCCCCCGGTGAGGCCGCCTCGCGCAACATCACTGTCACTCTGGACAACCGGTCGGCCATGTTCCTTGGCTGCCGCTACTTCGCTTGCGTCTCGGTCTTTGAGGCCCCGGCCGTTGAGGAGGCCACTGCCGAGGTTGTCGCCGAGGAGGCCGCCGAGACCACCGAGGAGGTTGTCGCCGAGGAGGCCGCCGAGACCGCCGAGGAGGTTGTCGCTGAGGAGGTCGCCGAGACCGCCGAGGAGGTTGTCGCTGAGGAGGCCGCCGAGACCACCGAGGAGGCTGTCACTGAGGAGGTCGCCGAGGCGGCCGCGGAGGCTGTCGCTGAGGAGGTTGCCGAGACCACCGAGGAGGCTGTCGCTGAGGAGGTTGCCGAGACCGCTGAGGAGACTGCCAAGACCGCCGAGGAGGTCGTCGCGGAGACCGCTGAGGAGGCTGCTGAGGCCACCGAGTAAAGGGCCCAACCTTTTTCTCCCACAAGAATACAAAATGTGCCGTCTTTTTTCTTTTTTTTTTGCGTCACTTGCTGCTACTCATTCCTGCCAACTGTGGTGCACGCGCATGGGCATGTGCTAGCGTGGCATGTGTGCTTCCTTTCTCTCCCCTCCTTCTCTCCCTTTTCCCCCAACAAAGATGACCGGGGAATTGTATGATATATTTTGATATGCTATTTTTTCCGCTTCCTTCACAGCACGCCTGAGCGACAGGCACTTCACAATCGTGCACTCAGAGGGACGGCGGCAGTTGCGGGGGATGGTGCTGCTGGGGGGTCGGATAGTGCCCAGCCAGGGGGGGCGGCAAGACAGGGGGAGGCGCGCCCGGCCCGCCGGGCCCCATGTCACCCACTCCAGGGGGCAACTTCGGCGGCAGCGACCCATACTGGTGCTCGGGGCCCATGTGCCACGAGGCCAGATGCGGGGGCATGGCAGTCGCCTGGTGGGGCGGCTGCGATTGTGAATACATCGACGGATGCTGGGGATGCGGGTGCTGGCCGATCCCATGCTGTGGAAATCCTTGCCACGTCCCGCTGGACCCGGGCAGATTCCCGAGAGCCGCCGGGTGTTGTGACTGCGGGAGGGCATACATGTGAGATGCCGTTCGACCGCTGTAAGTGTGTGAAGAGTGGCCGGCTGCCGCCGCCGAAGCTGCCGCCGCCACCGACAGGGGGCGGTGCGTCGTGGCGAAGGAATGCGGCGTTGGGGCCGGCGGTGGGGGCTGGCCGGCGGCCGGCGCCAGAGAGGCAGGCAAACTCACCGGGGCAGGGGTGGCGCCCGGGGCCGCGGCGGCCGCGGCGACGGGAGGGGCAGGGGTGGCGGCGGCGGCGGTGGCGGCGGCGGCCGCGGTAGCGGCACCCCCAGATGCCCGAGTATTCGGGCTGGCCACATAGCTGGGCGTCACTGGCGGGGGCACCACCGGAGGGGGCTGCGAGATGAAGCAGTACGAAGGGAAGGTCTGCTCATTGGGGCTGACCGTGGCACACCAGTGTTGCAGCCACTGGGGAAGGATGCCCGAGGCAATTTGCCGGCCGATGAGCGACCGCAGTGACCGGGCCAGGAGGGAGTTGGTGTTGTGTGGCCGGAGGCAGGGCAGGCCAAAGTGCTGGCCGTCGGTGGATGCCATGGTGAAGAGCACCGCACCGGTGATCCACTCATTTGTGCGCGGGCTGGCGGCCGATCCGGAGCCGGTGGCGGACCCGCCGCTGCTCCTTGCCGAGCTGCTCCCCGGGAGACGCATGTACGCTCCATCGTAGAGGCCCTCGGCGCGCAGCCAATCGACCACCCGCTGGGCCGACCAGTAGAGAAGGCACTCATTGCGCAAGTCGGGCGAGTCTCCGACGGCCGGGGCCGGGAGCCCGAAGAGGACCATCGTCGCCCGAAGGTGGAGGATGATGGCCTGAAGCGGGGTCAAGCCGCAGGTGCCGGGATCCGCGAGGAAGGAGAGGGTCCCGTTGGCGGCGAACACCGTGCCGTTGATGCTGTGCGCACGTAGCCGAGCCAGGGCCGATGGAGCCAAGCCGCAATCGGCCGCCCAGAGGACAAATTCCGCCGGACGCAAGGCACGAAAGCTCTCGGCCCGGGCCGACGGGTCACACTGCCCTGGCGGGCCTCCGGCAAGCGATGGTACCGATGCGGCCAGGGTCCGCTGCTCCTGGAGGGCCAGCTCCAGCGATGAGCGGACCTGCACCAGGGCATCGATGGCCGCGGCGCCGGAGACGTCGACCTGCGTGGCGGTGCCGGCCACCATGGCCTCGAAGGAGGCGCTGCGCGAGGAGCGTTCCCGCTTGGCGGCCTCGTCGAAGGATTGCAAGTCAGCCGAGAAGGTGTCCATCTGCTGGAGGAGGCGCTGGCGATCGACGAAGATCTCCTCCACTGGAGGTTGGAGAGGAGGACGGGGTGGGAGGGGGGGGGGGAGGGGATATGCGGTGAGCATGGCGCGACGCCGATGGGATAGTGGTAGATCAGTCAATGGACCGATGAGAGAGAGAGAGAGAGAGAGAGAGAGACAGGACGAGCAGGGGGACGCAGACAACAAAGTGCAAGCGAGGCAGACGCCGCGTCACACGCACGGCGCTTCTTCAGGCGGATCTCCTCCTCCTCGAGGGTTGTCAGCTCCAGGTAGCAGGTGGCCTTCTGGTCGACCAGGCGCTGGCGCTCGGCCACCGCCTCGCGTGACTGTGCCTCCAGCGTCTGCTGAGCCGCCCGTAGGTTGCTGATCTTGGAGGCCAGGTGCGAGGTGCACAGGAGGGGAACCGGCTCGGCGACAAGGGCAGAAGCCGAAACTGGGGCCGGGGCGGGGGCCGGGGCTGGGGCTGGGGAATCGGCCCCACCGCTGGCCAAAGATGCCAGAGACAAGGAGGACATGGAGCTGGCCCGCAATTCGGCCGGATTCGGCCGCGAACCGACCGACAGGACGCTGACCACGGTTTGTTCGCTGGACTCGCTGGCGCGCGAGGCAAAGTCCCCAGCCGACCGGCCGAGGATCTCGCGGACCGAGGGGGCGTGCTGAAGCCGAGACAGCCGATCCTTGACCGCCTTGTAGGCCAGGTCCACCGAAGCCGCACGACCCTCGAGGCAATCCTCGACCGACCCGTACACCGGTGGACTGACGCTGGTGTCTGTGGGCAGGGGGGGGGGAAGGACCGGTTAGTCCGGCTATGGGGGTTGCCGGCCGGGAACACACGTCCCACAGCCGGTCGCAGAGGACCCGCGGAAGCAGGAGGGCCGGGAGGGGTGGGCGGGGGGAGGGGGGGGGGGGCGAGACCAAGCCCTGTCAAGTCGGGGAAAATGCACACGCACCTCGAAGAGACAAGGTAATGAGGGTTTTGTTGATACGGAGGGCCTCGATCAGAAAGGCAGCTCCTTCATCACTGATGCCACAACCTTTCATTGGGGGCCGGGAGAGAGAGAGAGAGAGAGGAGGGGAAGGAAGATTAGCAGGCGAGTGTGGACAGTTGAAAGCCCTGGGGCAAAAGTACCCAGATGCAAGGGGAGGAAGAGAGAGGGGACGGGGCCGGAGAGAAGACCATGTACCATCGAGGGAGAGAACGAGGAGGGTCTGATTTTGCTTCAGCGAGGTGGAAAAGACGAGCGCCGCGCCATCGGTGATATTCTGGTTGTCTGGGTCGGATGTGTGTGTGTGTGTGGGGGGGGGGGGGGGGGGGGGGGGGGGGGGGGGGGGGGGGGGGGGGGGAGGGGTCAGCAGGGGGGGGGGGGGTGTGGGGATGTGTGTGTGTGCGGGGGGGGGGCGGGGGGGGGGGAGGGGTCAGCAGCGTGGATGGCAGTCACCGGAGCACGGCGAGCGGCGAGCGAGGAGGGAGGCGCACGGCGGAGGTGGAGCTCGAAGAGCTTGGAATTGGTGCGCAGTGCCGTGGCCAGAACCATGGAGACCTGATCATTCATGGAGTCGCAGCCGCTGATCTCCACAATGCGAAGGTGGCTGTTTTTCTTCAGCTCATTGGCAAAGAGAACGAGCGAGTTGATGGAGATGGCATTCTGGTCTGGAGCGGGCCAGGGCGAGTCAGTGCCGGGTGGAGCCCGGGCCAGCGCGGTTGGAGGCAGCGACGTGGCCCGGCGGGGACGTACTGATGAGCCGGATGTCAATGAGGTCGGTGTTGGCCTTGAGCGTGGACAACAGCGTCGGGACGGTTTCCTCGGTGATGGTAAGGCGCTCGTATCTCCCAGTGAAATCCGGGATCACAAAGTCGGCTGGTCAAGCGGAGGGGCAATCGTGTGGTGAGCGACGGCACAGGAGCAGGGCCCGATGGCGGAGCAGGTAAATCGGTACCCTCCGTGTCCTCTGGGAGGATGGCTACGCTTTGGTACTGGAGGATGTTCGTCCAGACGCTCATGGCGGGCGGGAGG